CGGTTGAGTCAATGATAGTGCCGTCAAAGTCAAGTAGAACTCCTGCGAAGGTGTAGGACACCTCCATTTGACGACTGTGTTTCGGGTGACAATTTGGATTGTGACAAATATTTAGTGACGATACGGGGTTCAACTGCTGTGTTTATCGAGCTACATCTTTATATTAAGAGACGTGGCGCTGATAAGCGGATGATTACTGTATTTGGTAATCGTCCCGCATACTAAATAGGCAACCGACCCGACACTTCTTAAGACCATTATGAAATATGGTTAGAGTTAAAGTTGGATCTTGTTAGCAGATCACTACGACTTTATTAATAGATATCTGGGTCTGGGTCTAGATCTGGGTACATATGCTCTAGAATGAAGGATGCCGTAGTTGCATATCTGGGAGCACAAGAGTCGCCAACTTGTGGCTTATCATAGACATTAACCACATATCAATTCCCATTCTAGGTAGAGCAAATTGACCGAGCAAAACATCCATCTAATCATGTCAAGTACATTGGCTTCTGCGCCGCAACAACCAAAACATCGAATATCGGATGAATATCCTTCCTCAACGACTCCCTCTTGACCCCGGCATTCAAATCCTCAATCTCACTCTGCTCCCAACCCAACACATCCCCAAACAACGCAGCAGTAAACCCTTCCACACCCTCCACAAAATTCACCCTCATAAAACTCCCACATTCTTTCAACCTCGCATCTTTAGGCCAACTTCCAATCGGCAACTTATACTTCATCGTATGCACGGCCCCAAACCCAGCCTCACCAACCCACTTCTCAAACTCCGGCGCAGGATCCATCGTCTGCCCAATCCTCAAACACGCCTCCTTCAACCCATCCATCATCTTCACCATATAACTATCCTCCTTAAGACTTTCATCCTCCGAATACAACGTATTCACACTCTCCTGCAACTCCAACCAACCCCCCGGCTTCAAATTCTCAAAACACTGCCGAATCAACCTGGGCCAATCGCGAATCGAACCAGCCATATACCGACAATGAATATAATCATACGGTTCACTCTCCATCCAATCCTTCTCCACGTCATCCACAATGAACTTCACATTCGGCGGCACCCACGACGGCTGGATCGGACTGAGATCATTGCCTACTATCTGCTCCACATTCGGGTACTCGTCGCCCATCTGGATCGCCCAGATGCCTGTGCCGGTGCCGATATCTAGAATGCGTTTCCCGTCTGGGTTTATCGGCGCAAGGAAGAGCCGGTTGTTGATAAGTCGGTAGAAGATATGGTGCACCATGTCTAGTCGATCTTGTTCGGGCTGGTCGTTGGGAAACGGGTAGTTTCCCAGATGGTGTGCGTGGTAGCGTCGGCCATGCTTGTATTCGTATTTGAGTACGCTCGAGCTGAGGGATGTTGTGGAGGATTCGGTCCCTAGGCTGATTGCGTCGTCGTCGTGGTCCACTTCAATGGGAAGATCGGGGGCGATTGAGCCCATTGTTACTACTGTGTAGATATGTGTTGTGGTGTGGTGTGGCTGCAAGCGATAATCAATACGGTGCGGGTTCCCAGACGTTTGAAGAGTAGAGACAGAAAGACAAAAGAAAAGGAGAAAACGAGAGGGTCACGCCACTATAATCCGCAGTTTTATATCCTTCACATGGTGGATATGACGGAGCTACGATTGGACTAGTTGAAAAGTGGTAAATACGGAGTACTTTAGTTTTGATTCGCATGTTCGGCGGAAGCCGAGGCCGGTTGTTTCTCGCTAACGAAATGCCATGCCTTTAGCGCTTATGGTGGTCCACTTTTAACGGTCGGGTTGCAGCGAATCTAGCGATATAGCGAATAAGAGTGGATTTATGAGTTGTTCAACGGGTCAATGGCTCCGGAGATGTGCCGGGGTTGGTTTAGATTGATTACTGGTGCTCCTTGATTTCGTGTTCTGCGCGTGGCAGTTATCTACGGCTCTTCTGGTGGAGATGTTTCTATACCGGGGTGGAGTGAGGTTCTTGGCATAATTTCAGTATACTAAAATATATAATATCATATTAGAATACTGACTAGTAAATCAGAAAAAATGAATGTTTCTCCCCGCACAGTAGATAGAGATACATGTTCCAACATGTAATGACTTTATGCCTTTCATCTTTTGCAATAATCAACTATTAGCATACTGTAGCCTTCCTTTCATAGTTACTTCTAGCCTCTGAATTCCAACGGTAGTACTGTTTGCAATGAAGGCGTTGCCTGCGTGAGACCTCTCATCATCGATCATCCCTGCTGCTATGGTCACGAATATCATTCCTAGGGTATGGATAATTATATGCACCAACCAGCTTCCAATTGGCCAATGTGTAATATTCCTAAGACATGGCCAGCTCTTGCTCGTCTTTTTTTCGATCCCCCGACTTCTTCTCTCAGCGCTAGATTCGAGTTGGATAGAAGTGCTTGGATGTAAATCCTCCCCCCCCCAAGGAGCAATTGATGGTGCCGCATCATACTCTCGTTTGATATTATTTGCCATCTCTCCTCTCCCCGTAAGATGCAAAATTTGTGCATTCTACCGATTGAATGGCTCGGTGAGACCTTCGGACTGGCCAGGAAAGTTGGCAACCAACCTAAGATAACGACTTTCGGTCTCTATTGATACGGTACACAGGAATGGAATGTGACCATAGTACACTTGCCAGAAACATCTTAAATATATCTTTCTCGGTGATTTAATAAGTTCACCGGGCAAGGATGCAGCGACACGGGCAGCAACTGCACTAGATCGAGTAAGGACCATATCAGAGCAACCATTGAGTCAGACCGGACGCCGAAGGAGAGAAAGTAAAGACTTTCCCTTCGAATTCGTTGCGTCCCGTTAGGATCTCGTCCACCCAGCAGACTATCTCCTCACTGTGTTGTCCCAGCACGAGTGGCTCATTGCGACCCCTAGCCTTGTGCTTGTGCGGGCAGTGAGATCATCGAACTGTATATATAGTGGGACTTTAGTTGTAGATCCTTGATACTCTTGCCTTCAATGATCTTAAACTCCCAGTTTCCCCCAGAAACGATATACCCGGGGAGGAAAGACGACATTCACCATTCAATGTTCAAACAACCACAGAACTGGGCCGAAAGTCAAATGCTGGTAACTGTGTCTAGCTCTTATGCTAGCGATATCAATATCAGCAAGGTCTGCCTGTTATTGCTGGTCTTGGGGCTGATCAGTTCGCGCTTTGCTGGAGCTAGACAACACTCATAGGCGATCTGGTTGATGCGGCATATAGTAATTTGGCAGTTGGTACATGCTTCTGGCGGAGGTTATCTCTGAGACCGGATCAGCAGGACATTGATGTAACTGGAACGGTGCATAGAAATCTGATAAGCATGAATCCGGCCTTGACGGAACTCCACTTGGAAAATGCGATAAGCAGTGAAGTCTAGATTGTAGCAACGCCGACGGAGAGTTGGTGATCATTTAACTTGTAGTTACTTGATATGATTGAACTTTCGGATCATCAAACGGTACAGAAAATGGTATTGGACGCGGGCCATCTCTACAATGGTGTCCAGGTAGGATTTTAAGGCCGAAGCCCAGACCACATAGCCTTCGTCTCCAGGCAGCAAACGCAACAGCGAATCGCAGTCGTACGCACGACGCTGCGCGTGGGTAGCGCCGGCGGGAGGAGGAGGAGTCGACAGGCCCATAATGTGACGGCGATTAGCGAGGAACGAATTGTACGCCACCACATTCTCCTATCGAAACACCACTTATTAGCCATCTATTCCAGCGATCCATAAGCAGAAGGGAGGACACTGACGCATTGACTAAAGCTCAAAGGCATCCAGTATGTCATAGAAATCGTCTGGTTCTAGCTCTGCAAGAATTGACGTTTGTATTGTCACTGCCATATATACCCATCCAAAGGTTCTGCATAATTCTGCGCGACATGCAAAAAGAAAAAAAAGTGATCGGGTTGAATTCTTGGATAGTCGCATATTGTCACGAATGGCGACCTAGTGGTTGGCCGAGGGCAGCTAACTTGTAGATATCCATGTCTTCCCAGCACCAACTCGTTCATCCAAAAGCTACCCGCGACACAGTCGCTTTCATTTTGGTCTCTCGATGTATGTATATCAACTAGCTGCCGAAATTTGAAAGCTCAGTGCCCAATAATTCATGTTCCATATATCTCATGTACATTCGTGATGTCCACAACGTGGAAGGCCTTTTCTCAAGTCACCCCCGAAAGAGTCCTCTTTTCACCTATTGTATCTTGGATTGCGCATTATACCCCCTTCTGTTTGATTAGGGTTGGTGGCGATCCGTCAGCTGTCCCGGTAGTTGGCGTACTTTTCTTATCAGTCACGGGTACCATATTTCCAAGTACTATTGAATTCTGCGGTCTGTGGGAACCATGTACTGGTGAATGTATAATACTTCATTATGATATAGGTACTTAGGTTCTACTGTATGCATCTTGAATGTCAAGGGCATACAGGAAGAAGAGACCATGTAGTAGAGAGCTGTAGCTATGGACATAAATGCAGAAGAAGATTGGAAGAGGCCCCAACCCTCCTTATATACTATGAGTGCAGCCAAGGCTGGATTAAATTCTAAAATTCAATCAAATACCGAGTGAAATGCTAGAGCATGCCTTGAATAGCTGAGACCAGTACACAGCCGAACTCATAGTGAAAGTCAATGTAGGAAGTTTATAAGTCAAGAAAGGCAGTATATTACTTCATCACGCCTCCCAATGTCCTTATTCATTCATGGTCTATCCAGATGAATGGTTGGGTGAATCATGCTTTCCTTCTCATTTTTTAAAGCGTCGGCGAAAAAGGCTATCTAAACCGAGACATCGCTCAGAAATCCGAACTTCTTAAATAAGTTTAAGCTTCCGTCACCATCATTGGTATAGCCAGGTTTACTATCTACCCAATTCTCCTCAGACTATCAGTATGAACAAAGAAACATGTTATCTAAACAAGCGCTCATCAAATTGATAGAAAATCACTTGTTTCCTAAAAGTCACAACTTCTGGATCTTCGAGTTAGCAGGTACCAGAGCCGCTATCTGCTGACTGATAGCAATCAGATCCATCCTTTCATCAAAAATAAGAACCTCCATATCCATTTGGCCGTTCAAGATCCTCTTGCACTCGGTCCGCAAGTAGAGCCATCGGACGCCCTCCGCGGGAAGCCTTTGCTTGATCTCTGTAGAGAGAGTCAAGGAGACATTCAACATTTTGGCCCAAAAGTTTCTGGTGCCATCATCATTGAGAATTCTCCAATCGCTCCGTCCTTCATTGCGGGCCTTTTCCTGGCGCTTCGTAAACTCGAGTATGGCCGCTATACTCCCCATCGGAAACGGCTTCCCTTCTTCGTAAGGGTCATAGTTCTCTTGAATGGGAAGCGCCATGTCTCCGACAAACTGTATCATGTCATTAGTCCATCTAGCCTTGCTCCACTTCCCGATGGCCGAGAGCCTAGCGGGAGATAGTCCCAACCCGGTTCAATCCATTGCTCGATGAATGAGAAGTCGGTGGGCAGAACTCTCAGGATGAAGTTCTTGACGTAGGACTGGCCCCTTCGGAATCCTTCGGGATAGAATGCGCAGTGGTAAGAAATCCAGTTCGGGTCACTATCAGTCTCGAGTTTCGTGAGGTCCACGGGAGAGGGGGTAGTGGAGAGACGCCAGTCTGTTTGAAGGGTTATGCCTGTGATGGACAAGTTGGTGATGCTGTCAAGTCTGTAAGCATCTGTTACTCTAGGCGTAATTGTTTCCTACTTACGCTATATCCGCAGACGCGGTGATCTTCTCATTCTAGGATGATTAAACACGGAGGGTAGACTGTCCTTTGCCGACATTTACTTCTCGCAAGGTCATAATCAACGGTGCCGAGGCAAATATCGGACGGTAGAATTGGACATAAGGGTTTCGAAGATCAATCTGGGTTTCCAGTTTGGGGTGTTGGGAGGCGTAATAGAGTGCATATTTGGTCATGGCGCTGGCTACATAGCCACCATAAATGACTACAACATGATCAGTGTCCCTTCACAAGTAGGGTTTATGCATTCTAGTACGTACCAGAGCCGACCGCAATATCTGAGGGCAGCTGCACTGAGCATTGACGCGTAGAGGAGAAGGGGACGTCCAACGCTTGGGACAGGCTTGTGGGGAGTGACTCCATTGGCCTTTTCTTCAAATTAAGTACTTTGGCTCTATAGAGGGTTTCAGATTGTTGTACAATGCCAGAAAAGGTTGAGTTGGAGCCTGCTCGTCCCTAAATACTCGAAGTGAAGAAGATCAGGATAATGATCCAATGTAGCGACAGGCGACGTAGTAAGCTGGGTTTTTGGAAGCAATTATCTATGGTCAGTATCCGGACATCCATTGAGGCCGACTTTTATAGATATGACAGGAAGCCAGGCTGAATACCAGTCACAGTATGGTTCTGGGTATTCATCCGACAATCTGTAATCCCAGTCGCGGCCGCTAGCTCAGGAACTGCCTTGTTTACCAATCCAACATTGCTGGAAAAGGGGGCTGTGCCCCTTCTTTCTTTGTTTCCATCTGTTGGACTAACAATCCTAGTTCAAATTCAATTGCCCTTCTAGTCTAGCTATGATAATACCCCTGTATGCTTATCTGCCTTCTGTGTCACCGCCTCCGGGTCATATTGATGCTCACTATATTTCCTTCTACTTTCGTCTTGGTGATGGAGAAATGTCTGCTTCCTGGCTGAATAAGTGAGCCGAGGCTTCCAAGGATCCTTGCTTCTTTCATGATGATCTTAATCGATGAGATACTTTTATCTTCGGGTGCTTGCATGCATTACCCACCTGCTATAAGGCAGATGTCTCGTTACTTTGTTCCATCTCAGGACATCCACTGTAGATCAATACCTCCCGGATTCCTCTGCATTTAGAATCGATACTCATTACTGGTGACAATACTATGGACTAGTTGTTTGGTAAGATTGACAATCTATATTTGCCGAAAGGTCATTGATGTTCCTACAAATCCTGTTAGATCCCCTTGTGATTTCAATTTCGGACATGCGCAGTAGCCTACAGGTTATAACACCATAGCCCTAACGCTGAGCATTCCGCGCGTCAGCTAAGCTCATGCAAGGTCGGAACTGGATACTGTATACATTACTCGTTGCATCCGCCTCGCGACTCGGGCTTCAACTGTCCCAAGGCAATTTGCCGAGACCTCCATTCGCTCCACTCATCCACTGTGCGGGTTTCTTCCTCTTCCCCGGGTAGCAAAGGAGGGATAATGCCACCCTTCAGGCGCTGAAGAGACGCAGTTCGCTTAGCACGTACCAAGTAGGCCACACTTTCTCGCTGCACCTTTGCCTGGTCCCCTGGAGCTGTCACCACCCGGTGTAGGGAACTGCGCAGGACACCTCCCGTCCACTCCACCAAGGTGTCGCCAACATTCACCACAGCACACCCGGGTTCAGGCTTAATGTAGCGCCAATTTTCTTTGAGATTCTCACATCCAGCAGGGAGAACCTGGAGTCCGCCTGCGATATTGAATAGGAGCGTCATTATTCCCAAATCAGTATGGCCGCCGAATGATATGCGATCGTAGTTGGGATCAGTTTGGGCTGGGCTTCAGAGCAGGCGGACAATACTGTCGGATTCTTGGTTCAATGGACCTAATGCTTCGAGTGTTTGGGGCTCTATTTCCAAACAACTGTCCAGCTGGGCCAAGACCTCATCTAGTACTGAATGAGCGTGTTCGATAAAGCGTCGGAGCTGCTCTTTGCTGGTGTTGATCACATCAGGGTGGAGACGTGAGTGACTGGACTTCCCTAGCACTTCGTCTTGGCTGAGCGAGTAGGCGTGGATAAAGTCGACGTCGCCATTGTCTGTCTTTATGCTTCCTATGCCTTTATACCTGGTCCAATGTTAGTTATGCAATGACATGGAAGGGAGGGGAGGAAGCACATACCTCATAAAGTCCGGAGGCTTGTAGGTATAGGATTTCAGAGTCTCGTGGCTCAGCGCAGAGAGCTGTGTAGTCAACTCAAACATTGCTTCCGCATCCTGCAGCAGAGTATGCCCCTGATCTGACCCCTTCAAGTCCAACAGAAAGAATCCCCATTTCTGGCACGCTTTCAATAACTTCTCTACTTCTTCTGTCGTGTTGTTCTTCAACCTTTCGAGAGAGATCTTTGACAGTGAAACCACGGGAAGATCTGAAGGGAACGGAGGAATCCGATCGAAATATCCTTGGGTTGGCATGCTGCAAAGTTGAAGTGCAAGCACCTGTATTAGTGTCTTCCTCGGTCTTCCTGCTTATTCTCCTGCGATCAATTGCGGACTTGAGGAAGAACAAGAGTTACAGGACTATTTATAAGAGCCATCAATCACGTGTCGGACGGCATTCACCCATCACACGCACATTAAAACTTCTCATGTAGCCATTGGGTTGTGAATAGTTAAAGAATTGGACCAGTTAAAGAACGTATCCAAAATTTCACTGTTGTAAGCATCATTTAGACAAGGCTGATAGCGCTACTGTACATAACCCAGCCTCACCAGCAGGGGTGTGGATCCTGTGTTGGGATCAGCAGCTTAGTTATGATAATACTTCTTTGTACTTCTTGTTAGACGGAAGGTTGCAATCCTGTGGTGTAATGTATAATTATTTACTTAGTACTTGGCAATACTACTCTACGAAAACCAAGTCTAATTGGTGCCCGGATGTTGTCTCCAACACTCACTTAACCATCCAATAAGATTACAGTTAAGCACGAGTTGTAATGCTGCTGTGCGGGGATGTTCTAGACTTCCACATTCCAACATGAGAGCAGTCATACAACACCTACATACATCCCTTAATTCCCAATCATGTTATTTCTCACAGTACTTTCGATGTCCGTGACTTCACCGGACTCAAACTATCCGATCGTACAACCCATCGCAACATACCACCACCACCTTGTTAGATCATACGATCCCGTCACTAATAATACTATAACCCCTCACCACCCCAACCAAACCATCACAACTAGCTTACAACTACAACTACACCTACAACCTACACCCATCTCATCCACTACCGTCCTTAATCATCCTCAACCATAAACCTAGCATCAAAAATGACCCCCCAAACCATAATAATCGGCACCGGCCTCGCAGGCCTAACCACCACCAGCACGCTCCTCACGCACCACATCCCCGTGCTCCTCCTCGACCGGGCGCCCAAACCCGGCGGCAACAGCATCAAAGCCTCGTCGGGGATCAACGCCGCTCCGACACGATACCAACACGACACAGATTCCATCACCACATTCCAACACGATACCCTCCTCTCCGCAGGAATGCCGTATACCTCCGCTAGAGGGGTAGAGCGCACCCGACGCGAGAAACTCATCGACACCCTTACAACCAAGTCCGCGGACGCGCTATACTGGCTTACGGATGACATCGGAGTCGATTTGAGTCGGGTCACTCGACTCGGGGGACATAGTGTATCGCGGACGCATCGGGGAAGTGGGAAGGGGACACCGGGGTATGATATCATCAAAGGGTTATTGGGACGGGTGTCGGAGGATAGGAATTGTCATATGGAGGTGGGGAGACGGGTTACGAGGATTTTACGAGAAGAAGGGGCAGAAGGACGGGTCGTTGGGGTGGAGTATACTGTCCAGGATAATGAGGGAGGGGGCAATCAGACAAAAACAGAGACAGCGTACGGACCTGTCGTTGTCGCGAGTGGAGGGTTTGCAGGCGATGCAAGAGGTTTATTAGCGCAGTATCGGCCCGATCTGGAGGGGATACCATCGACGAATGAGCAGCGCGAAGGGACGCAGCCTTTGCTGCAGGAGATTGGGGCAGCCGTGGTGGATATGGAGCAGGTGCAGGTGCATCCGACGGGGTTTGTGGGAGGGAAGGGAGATGAGGCGGAGGCGATGGTGAAGATATTGGCGGCGGAGGCGTTGAGGGGGGAGGGGGGTATACTTGTGCTTGGGGATGGGAGGAGGTTTGTGAATGAGTTGGAGACGAGGGAGAAGGTGACGGGGGAGGTTATGGGGCGGGCGGAGAGGTTGCCGACCAAGGCGAGGCAGTGGGATGTGAAGCTGGTGTTGGATGAGGGGGCTGCTGCGGCGTTGCAGTCGCATTTGGGATTTTATATGTGGAAGGGATTGATTAAGAAGACGACGATTGGAGAGTTGGGGGAGATGTCGGCGCTGGAGGGCACGCTGAGGGAGTATGCGGATGTGGTCGCTGGGAAAAAGCAGGATGAGTTTGGGCGGCAGTCGTTTGGAAATTGGACGCTGAGGGAGGTTAAGCCAGAGTCGGTGGTGTATGTAGGAAAGGTTACCCCGGTTGTTCACTTTACCATGGGAGGCGTGGTGATCAACGAGCGCAGCCAGGTGTTGGACGGTCAGGGGCAGCCGATTCCCGGACTCTGGGCGGCCGGCGAGATCACCGGGGGTCTCCATGGCCAGAATCGGTTGGGGGGATCGTCGCTGTTGGAGTGCGCAGTCTTCGGTCGCATTGCCGGAGAGGAAGCGGCTGCTTATTATCAGGGACTGAAGGGGACATGTTCCTGAGGGTATGCTTGGTGGGAGAGATTGGTGGTTGTGATAATTTATTGTGATATTATGTATTATGCACGCTACAGTGAAATTTGTTGAATAAGCTACTACGGCAGTTGTCTGATCGAAATTTACTGCTTGTTTGATCTTGTGTATAAAGTTCTGGGGAACAGCGAGGTTCATGCAACCTACTGCATCTCTTGACGATGACCTTGTTTCGCATTCAACGCCTTACCTGATGATGGTGATAATCATCATCAAGCAGTGTAACGAATCAAGGCACTAATCATAAGACATTACATCTCACATCTGGCCAGTGCATTCCAATGGAACCGATCAGTTTCAAGAGTCGAACCACTGCACCATGCATGCAAGCGCACTGTAATATCTTCGCAGTCACCCATTTCGCGGATTGATCCCAATTCGAAGGACATTCTGCCAAGATTCCATGAACCCTGTCAAGATGATCATTGTCGCCCTTAATTGCATCACGGGGCCGTTGCATGAAAACTGGAGTAGTTAGATACCCTACATCCTCGAGCAGGTGAAATAAAAGTGATTTTGGGGCAGGCCACCGCAGCCCTTGCGAGGATGCGTTGATTGATGGACGGGGGACAGGCCCTGAGCACAGGGACCCATGACGTAGGACGCCGAAGGGACGGGCTTCTCGGTCGAATTCCGGAGAAAAAGAAAAAAAAATCTAAACTAAAACCAACAAAGAGAAGATGAGCTGTCGCACCGCCACAACTCAAACATTTACCCTGTCCGACTAGGGTCGTCGCCTCCACGGAGCGGAGTTAGTCAATCTGGTGGGCACCCTTCCCTTCTGCCTGGACTTGGGAGTGATGGTACAACACACACTTCATCCCACGCAAATGCACCAATGCACCGACCGGTCCATGGCGACTCGACGCGCTCTTCTAGAACTTTGAGTGTCTGTTTGGAAGGTGCAGATACCCCTTCTCCTTACAGACAATGCAGCCCGTGGGAAATGGAATGGCTGGGTACCCCAGCCTTCCTTTCGGCCGCGCCCTGGAACTGTTTTTCCGTCCTGACTCTCGCCCACGGTTACGAGAGAAATGGTAGCTTCCTCAATCAATAGATCGAAATTAGTGGGTGGCGGAAAACTCAGCAGCTTCCCCACAACGGACCAAACAACCGTGTTGCTGTGGTACCACGAGCCAAGTTGCCGTGATACACAGAGCTCTGTAGTCAGTCCGATTGAGAATGGGCGAATCAATCCTGGACTCTTCTCCAGCGTCAACGCTAGAGAGACGGCCAGAGTCGTGAGTGGCCCAACCCTGTCGCGGAGGCAGCCAAATGTGGCTCAAGAGGGCGAGGGTCAGCCACACCGGCGGTGGGCTGATTTTAGTGGCAGAGCGAAGCACAAATCACCATTTGAGCCGGCGAAGATCGGCCCCATCGCGTCGATCCCCTGCATCCTGTCGGTCAAGGGCCCTATGCCAGTCTCTGCCCACTTCCTGGCCTTACTTGGCCTGCCGGCATTCACATCTTGGGCATCCAGTATCCCCCTCCTCACTGACGTAGGTGGTGTGACGAAACTTGGCCTTAGCATCTCTCTGTCGTCAGATCTAGACTTCTTTAGTGTCAGTCGGCAGCCCGGTTCGTAAATTGGCGGAATAGGAGTAAACTAGATGCACTAACAAAGCGAGAAAAGGCCCTTCTCCCTAGTTTGGTTAGCAAAAGAAAAACTTAATCGACTGGAGCTTGGGATTGTTGAGGAAAGGTGGGATCAACAACCGGGGATATCTCCAAATCCCTAGATCCTCAGCCACTCGGCGCAAGCGAGGGCTTTTCCCTTCAGCCTATGAGAGGCACGCAGGGGATACAGTGGATTCGAGTTGAGCCACGGTGTCTGGGTCTGATCATGATAGACGATGCCCCTTCCCTTTAGTCCAAGATTAAGGCCAGGGTGGAGCAGCCATGACTGCATGGACTGGCCCGTGACGGTGTCCTGAGCCACGTTGGCGCGCTGGTAGCCTGGTAGATGGGGTTCTGATGCCTTTGCTGATCGACTCCAGAAGCAACCAGCGACTCGCAGAAAAAAAAAATAATAAAAATTTAAAATGAAAAATGAAATGAAATTGTGAAAAGCAAAAAGCAGAAAAGTAAAAACAAGCAACGCAACTACTCCAAACTAGTAGATTGACGGCAAACGCCGAAGTGAACGAATCGAGTTGTCGGTGCGGCAAACAAGGGAAGCTGCGGGCCCTGATTTTGGATTTGCACTTGTTGACTCTTTCCTGCCTCCATATTAAATCGGCTCTTGTCCCCTCTCCCTCCTCCTCTTTCTTCCCTCTCTATCTCTCCAAGCAATCCATCCAGTCCCATCATCTGTCTTTCGCGTTCATCTTCTTCGGTTGATACCCCATTCTTCGCGCCGTCGCTCTTCGATTTTCTGCTCTTGCACGTTTCCATCTTCTTATCACACACAATGAAGACCTTCTCGCTCTCCCTCGCTCTTCTGGCCGCTGCCAGCATGGTCAGCGCTGATGTCTCTGTCAGCGACTGCGCTGTATGTGTACCTGGATGTGACTTTCTTGGCGCACCTTACTGACCAGCGCGCGTCTCTAGCAAATGTGCCTTAGCAACATGAACAACAAGGCTTCTGAGCTTGGCTGCTCCAGCGGCGACATGTCCTGCCTGTGCAGCAAGCCCGACTACAGCTACGGTATCCGCGACTGCACCGCTCAGGCTTGCCCCAATGATGACGCCAACGCTGTTGCCTCGTCGGCTCTTGCTTCCTGCCCCACTTCCTCTGGCAGCTCCGACTCCGCTTCTGCTACTGGTGCTTCTAGCACTGGCTCCGGCGCTGGCGGTGCTGGATCTACCACCTCTGCCTCTTCGGCTACCGGCAGTGGTGCTTCGTCTGCCTCTGGAACCAACAGTGGTAACACCAGCGGTGCCACGACTGGCGCTACCACCAGTGGAGCGGTAAGCTTAGTATACTCGTGATACCAACGTTGGGAAGCTAATCTCTTGCAGACTTCTGGTGCCACGTCTGGTGCGACCACCCTGAGCACCATCACCAGCACGAGCACTAGCACCGGCACTGTCTCTGGCCAGACCACTCTCAGCACTATCACTGGCACCAGCACCAGCACCGGTACTGTCTCTGGTGCCACCTCCGGCTCTTCTGGCAGCTCTACCTCTGGCTCTGGCTCTGGATCTAGCTCCAACGGCTCTGGCGGCTCTTCCTCGGCTACCGGAACTGCTCCCTCTTCCTCCGAGACCACTGGTGCTGCTCCCAAGCTTAACGTTGCCGGCAGTGGAATCGCTGGTGCTCTTGGTCTCGCTGCTATGTTCCTTCTCTAAATGACTGGGCAAATGACTTGAGGGCCTGGATACTTCAGGCGCCAAGACGGGACTGAGAACCTGACTTGGATTGTTTCACTATTATGGTTTACGACTTCTACGCTTTGTTTGCGGCTTGTATATGTTAATAGGATGGGTCATAGCATAATGACTAGTAGATAATGTGCCGACTGCCCATGATCATAATCATGGATATGCAGCAGCATGGATGGTTTATGGATGGTTTAATGGATCACCAGGTTGATTTACACTCTTTCTCGGTCGGTTAGGTTAAAAATATGAGACAATAAACTCTTAAGATCATCAACAAAGCCGCGTAATAGATCTTGAGTCGCTGCAGCATGGTGACAATGCTTATAGATTGAAATAAGGAGGGGTATCATGATGTGGTGACGTAGACTATGCAGAGTGGCATCAGAATGTGATGTGTAACAGTCAATCCACCGCACTGGACCTCGGAAGGTAAGCATCCACGCAAAGGATGCGCGATAAGCTCGAGACTTCTGCATTTCGATGACATTGTGACTTGAGCTGATTGTGGCTTTGCGGAGATGTTCGTTTCAGAAAGTCTATTTCGTCCTCTTTATTTATAGCTCGATACACTTCAACTACATGCCGTCACTAGTTGATCGGATTATATAGAAAGTTCTAGTGGAGGGCTTATCTTTCTATATTTATCTTCAAGCATGACCTATATGCAGTTCTGCATGGTGTACGGAATACATTGGGTACTTGTTGGTCATTATAAGAAGGTTATTGTCATATAATTAGTAGTTCAGCTAGGAGTAGATACTAATGGTGGTCTTGGCTGTGTGGATATTTATATATGCGCATCATCATACGCCCTTGACACTAATGGTACAAATCCATGCAAGATTTTTAGAGTGACCACTACTACTTCGCTACATTAAATACTTTTCAGAATACAATATATATACGACATTGACATTGCCAGTATGCCGCTATACCTAGTTCCTGCTCTAACCTATAGCCTTGAATTAGATATACTAAGGGTTAACAAGGTCAACGCCAATACCTAGTCAGATCATGGCCCTGGATTGCAGTCGCTAACTCTACAGCTTCGTAGCCAGATCACTAACTAATGTCCTATACACAAAAATACCTCATCACTTCCGCTTCATATATGGGTTCATATTATCCCTGAGCATGCGAAGAAAGGGAGACCCGGTCAGGTGACCGAATTCTTCCTGCCGTCAGCCACAGGCACCGAGGCACTAAGGCATGAAGGCAGCAGTCGTATCTATATCTTCAACAGGTAACTGATACGAAAACTAACCAACCACCCTCATGCAAAGCACAGTTCAATGTGAAGGGCTATTTTTGTTCTTATCTAAATGCCTAAATCTTCCATAGTGTTAGTCTAGACTAAATCGAATAGCACTCTATGTAAGAAGATGGTTTATAATTCCAATGGTCCTAGTTCGGATGTTCCATCTACAACACAATTCACATACTACTTACTCATACCATACTACATCCCAGCACTACTCGCCATTTCTCACGAGAAACAAGCACTAAACAATAGACATGAACCTCGCCAACCTCATCAACAAATCTGCCCGCCCCCTCCTCAAACGTCGTCTCCACATCCTCATCGCATCCCTCATCGTCCTGACCTTCATCCTCATCATCGCCCGACTAGCAACCCCAGGCACACCAGCAACTCGCACCAATATCTGGGGTATAACAGTGGTACAATCCTCCCCCATCACCAGCATTCACTCAATTTCAATATACTATTATAACTAACCACACAATTGAATGGACAGTGCCTCAGAGCCGCCCTCTTCCTCACCTACCAAATCCTAACAACCTACAAAGCCCGCTTCAAGCGATGGGCCAGTCCCAAAGCCAACATGATCCTGGATATCATCGATACGGTGTTCTGGTTCGCCCTGTTTATTATAAGTATCATGGGCGCGAGCGGCGGCCGTAGTGTCGCTAGTAAGGCGTTGGGTGCGTTTGTGGCTATTTTGGCGTTGGTGTTGTGGTGAGTTTTATCAGACCAAGGCCAAGACCGGTTGTGATGGTGGGGGTTGTGCTAATAGGTTATTATACAGTGGTGTTGTGGGGTTGTTGTCGTATCTTTGTGTCTTGGATTATCGGCATTTCAAGGCTCATGGGGGAGTTGATACTTATGGGAGTGAGGAAGTGAAGGGGGAGGTTGTTTAAGGGGATGAGTGTACTATTGTATGTTGTCGTTCTTTATGATAGTTATGGAACCACGGATGTATAGAAGGGGAGAAGAGAAGAGACATAGCGAGAATTAAACTTATTGTGTTAAGACCACACTCTTTGCGAGGCATCACTTAATCCAATCCCAATCCTTGGTCGTCTCTCCTGCCTACGTGGTCTTCCCATTTACATAGTACAGGTTCACTTTTGTTGTGTTTACCTGCAGCGATGGTCTTCCTAGGCCATGGAGGCATCGACCAGGAATGAATCGAACTGAGTTGAACAACTAATTATTACTTTTATCCAGGTGTAGCAATGTAGCGCAATGTACATTTTGGATCGGATTGAAACCCCACATCCTTCTAAAAATAACAGCACAAGGCTGCCACTTTACTTTTACAATACTCAATTAGTTCCCTGATCTCCATATAGTTTAGATCGAGGACAAAGTAATTATTTTAGAGCTTTTTGAGTTTAAACTCCTTATCACTTTGCTGGTTCCACTTCCAATCACGCTCTAACCATAAACGGAAATGGGTACGACTACGACGAGGCATCTACAATAGATAATAAAGATTTTTGCTCTGGAAAATATTGCGGCCGTCTGTTCGTATATTTCCCCTTTCTAGGGAGAGGATTGGAACAGAGCGGTAAATTAAGAGAGCTAAATCCCGGGTGCTACTTGGAGAAAATAGGGCGTATAGGGGGAGAATGTATGGTACGGTATGCATGACATCTAATGATCATATGGAAACATAGGAGAGAGAAACAAGAAGACAATCGTAAATCGACAAAGCAGAAACAAGGTCATAAAAATCTCATCGCCCCGGACGCAGCATCTCCACCTGATCCTCCTCCATGTCCATCATCTTGCCATAAGACTTTGGACGAGCCGAGAGAATACGACTCGGATGCATGACATTGAACAAAACACAACACAAGAACATCAGCAGGGCATCAAAAATATACAGAAACATCTCACTCTGTTTCAAAACGCCCTCCGAGCCCTGCACGTATTCCACCACACGATAGATGGACCGTATCATGATCAGAACACTAGCCGTGTACAAAATGCGCATATAAGTGTGCCAGGGCGGTGTGAAAGCCAGAGATACTTCAGTCGGCGAAGCAGCCATACGGCGATGGAATACCACAGTGACGATGATGAAGAAGCCGAAAAAGACCAACTGAACGATAAGGCCGACCACAATGATGTTATTGCCTAAGGAGATCTTGCTGGGGGTTTTGGCAGAGGCCATCATTCCGCCGCCGCCACTTTGGATGAAGAATGAAAGCACGTCGCCGGTTACGAATATCTTGGTCAGCCATGATGGCCGGATCAAAGAGTGTGAACCGCCGTCGATGAGGCGGATGATTCGGCCCAGGATCATGTAGATGGAGGCGGAGAATAGGGCCGGAGCTAGAAGGAGAAGCATTTCTTGTCCGACGTAGGGTTTCACGGTCCAATCGGGGGTCTCTCTGGCGCTGAAGTATCGTGCGATATATCCGAATGTCTCGACTAAAAGGGAACAAGGTATTAGAAGTGTTAGAGGGATGAGGGAACACACAGAAGCCACCAATAACGAATGGTACAAAACACCATGTTCGCCTACGGATCAATTGGAAAAGATGCACTAGGGAGGTTGCAGCGAACAGCCCGGCATAGATAATAGCAGCGCCGACAGAGGGCTCATAGTCATAGAGCTTATAGTTACTCGACATGATTGAGGCTTTGGGTTGTGAGACGTTTGGAAAAGCAGAAGTTGAACCACCAGGAAGAGAGAACTTGGAGGACAAAGAGAACTTAATAAGTTATTAACAAACACTACGCACTGAGCAGGTGGATCTCCACTACGTAGCTTGCACATTTATGCCATGGACCTAAATCTTCTCCGCTCAGGGGCGTCCGTGGATATCCACAGGGCTTGGGTTCTTATGGTTACCATTGTAAGCTCAATGACCATTTTGGGAAAGCCCGAGAGTGATTCTAGTGGGTAACCTGTAGTACTAGGTGACTGGTCCGTTGTGAAGTAGTCAAAGCTTCAATGTGGATATCAACCTCATTCATCACAAAAGCAATGAAAAACCATACCTTTACGGTGATCCCCTGTTATCATATTATCTACAATTTCATGCAGTTCATATTGCAGCTTATTTGGTACAGTAAGATCGCAAACAATCTTGACAGTATTACACTCATGTCCCATGATAACTTCACATATACGGTGCTACAAGAAAAGATCTAATGCTGCAGGTTCGCAAGTCTAAGGGTCTTCCGGCCGTCTCAGGGCTACCAACAGGGCAGGCTACTGTGTTTACCAAGACTGCCCAGCCACTAGTAAAGCCGGCACAGTAGGAACTCCCCCACTGATGGTATATCATGTTGGTAAAAATATCATACAGCGGGGATATTTCGGCGAAAATAACATGACTCTGAAGCCAGTCGGGGCGGCGATATCATTTGCTTAAAAACGTAAGTTGGTGGTGATCCATCCACCAGCTATGGAGATTGTAGTTTAATGGACTCATATAGTCTCAGAATCTTCGCCCGTTAGTAGATTAACAGAGAGGGAAATTTGACACCAGCCGTAGAGCAATTGATAAAAATAATCAACATCTAACTTCTGGGATGATCGTCTTTCCCCGTCCTTCGTTTTTCGCATATTATACCCGATCGGTCAAGCACGGGTCTCTTCGAACAACAGCTTAAAAAAGATAGGCCGATTGGCGTCCTTCTAGAGACTAGTATGGTGAGACATTGGCGGGAGATGTGTGAGGACTAGCCCTATTTATATTCTGTGTGGTGCATATGTGTCTGTGCCTGAAACACCTTCTATGGATGAATCTGGTCATCAAAACGGCCAGCACGGTGATCGACATAAATTCAGTCTCCGCTGTCCATCAACTCCGGTGTACGCCCAAAACATTCGTGGAAAGAACCAAAGGCCACGTGCTTCTGATGATTAACTTCTCAACCGTTGAGCATAGAGTCCAGAACTGCCTTCTAACCGTCAAAAGCACACTTCGCTTTTTGGTTCTCAGCATTGTGAGTGGAATTGATCAGGCCTGGGGCATTCAAATGAAGCAGATCAAATACCTGGCCAGTGGAACTCAGGGTAGAAATTGCCCAAACTCAATACACCCATTTCCATGAGAAGCATCTGTCAATTGCCCATCTGTTCAGGGCCAAAATGGGAACGAACGGAGATAGCGCTGAGTATCATGCTCACATTCCAACGTAGACCCCTGATTGTGCTTCTTTAACCCCAGTTTTGATGCTATATAATACACATAAAGAGCGGCATATAATCCGATAACCCCAGACAGGCTTTATAGCTACACTCCAACCATTAGAGTGGAGAAATCGGCCCGGCCTCCGCACATAGCTTATCCTTATCAGCCCAATCTTCAGGTTGAGTTGATCGTATGTGAAGCTTGGCAGTTTGTCGGTAGCTACCAGCTGACTAGGATCCCAGCAGCGGGATGACAAGGAGACACATAAGTTGAAAGTACAATTGAGATAGTCTCACGCGCCATGGGGTATGGACACTTAGTTCCTGCCATCCGTTGCTGAGGTCGTCAACGCTGAATGAGGGAACCAAAGCAGTATGTATTGTCTGTAGTAGTGCTAGGGAAATGCTTATGAAGTGAATATGTCGCTGATTCAATGAGACTTTTCTCAATCGCTAGAATAATCGGCTAGTGCCTGCCCAGCGTCATAATCGGTGCTGTCGCATCATCGGTTAATATCCGCACCTCTGAGGTATTGGCGATGCCCTTTTCAGTCAGAACATGTCAATGACTGTGAATCCGGAGATTAATATTGTACGAGCGATATAACCATCTAAGTTGACTGGTGTAAGCCAAGCCTATATAATTGGTGATTGAAACGCTGTGGCTGAAACCCATTGTGTTTTGGTAGGCTTGAAGAAGGATATGCCAACTTGTGCACCCTATCCCAGACACGATAAGCTGAGGTGCCCCTTTTCTGCCAGGTTTTGCACCGGGGGTCTTTCGTTACTGGTCCAGGTAATCCACACTAACACCAGTTCGTGATAACGGCGAAGCCAGGGTCCATTGTAGCGTGCTTGGTAGTAGAAAGAACTGCATTCGGATCGGGGGATGATAGCGTCCGGGCAAAGAAAGCCCCGACTTGGAGTAGCGCCAACAATCGGCAGCCTTCTTATTGGCGGATAGTGACGCGGAGCCCCACCACAGCAGGCGTGATTACGAGCCGCCGCCCATTTACTTTGTAGCTAGTCCCAAAATAGCCTTGTTACTGCCTGCAATTGCTCGTTGCCGCCTGATCCTGGAGGGCGAGCCTTCTCCCATTTATTCTTCTGCTTCCTCTTCATCCTCGCTGCTTCATTCCCATCCGACTGGCCGTTTTTTCTCTATCGCATCCATCAAAACCATCAGTTCTATTCGACTGTCGTATCCCTCGCTTGACTCTTACACAATCATGACCATCTCTTCCCTCGTCCGTCGAGGTGTGGAGGCCGCCTTGGAGCAGCCTACCCCGAACCAACCCACCATCCATTTCGCAGGATGGCTGTCAGCTCTGTTTGTCTTCACCGTCCTCGCCTTTATCGCTATCGGATTTTCGGTAAGCTGCATACTCCCTCTGAGCTGATTCTTTGACGGGCACTGACACGTACTCTCAGGTGGAGTACACTTATGGAATGCTGGTCCCGACCCTCGCCGCTATCGAGGATTCCAACCCCGATGTCTACGTCCGAATCGATGGCAACCTTGACGCCAACAAGCCTGACGATGCAAACGAGCCTGATACCGAGCCTGTGATCGAAGCTCCCCCTCCGATGCCCATCACCAGCAAACTACGCACCACGATCCAGCACCTTCGTGCCCGTGCCGGTTTCCTCTCCCGCTTCCGTGGCTTGAGCATGCTCGTCACTTATGGTCTTGCACAAGGGCTGGTCTTCTCCATGATGCCGTTCTCTATCAATGCATTCTTCTCTCAGTTTGTTGTCGGCATGATCTGCAGCGTCGCATTGGCCAACCTGCAGTTGGCGTGGGTTCACATTGTTATCTCCGAGCCTTCTCCCAAACGTTTCTACCAGCGGATCCCCGGTTTCGCTGCCTGGAAGAAGATCGCTCCGGTTGTTGCTTTCGAACATGCCGTTACCAATGCTGCATACTACATTCCCCTGATCCTGATCAGCGCTTGCAACGGCTTCAAGAACATTGAGAACCCCTCCGGCGGTGACTCCCCAGCCAAAACTCTCGCCGGCGCTGCTACGCTCGTCTCCCTGCCAGCCCTTCTCTCTTTCGTGGTGTCTATTCCCGCCCGGGCCATCTTCATCCGCGTGGCTGCGTCTATGCTCCCTGAGGAGGATGAGTCGATTGTGCCTTTCGACCGTTCCTTCGGCGGCAAGGTCTCTCCCGCCATTGTCGGCGGCAGCGGCAAGCTGAGCATCATGGATGCTTGGAAGACCTTCGACCGGCCTGCTCTGGTCCGCTTCGTCAAGGCCATCGGCAAAGGGTTCGCAATTGAGGTAGCTGTGGCTGCGTTCTTCACCACTCTGCTGGTTGCGCAGGTTTGGGCTGGAGCGGTCACCTATGGCTTCGCTGGAAACAACGCTTAACTACAGCCGAATGCCTTAAAAGTGTGTACAGATCCAAAACAATCAGCTACGACTCTGCTCTTTTGCATGACTCTATACATAAGTCCTAGTGTTTGATGATATAGCGCTTACATGATTATCCATATTCCATCCATGACGTAGTTTGAACCTGTGTAATGCGATTAAAATTGAGCCATCTCGTGCACGGATGAGTCGTTGGCGATCATTCTTACAGCTACCCCTATCGCCCATATTTCTTTGTTTGCCCTTCCCGTCGCATTGGGCAGGGATAAGCATGGCGTGTGACACAAGAGGGGACTTGGGAGAGTCGGGATAGTCCTGCGGAGGTCCGGACGAGTAAGCGTTATAGTAGTTTACGTACAATTAATACAGTGAGAGTTCCCAGGAGGGTAGACTACCATCTTTACCGGTCTGCTGCACCATTCTCGACTTGCCTTGGACCAGTCATATATCATAGACTGGACTGGCCATACCCGCCAGGTACTCATGGGCTACTACTTACTACAAGTAGTAACAGAGCAACGCCACCGAGGCGCACCATTTGAGTTGTTATCGCAGCCCACCCCGCGCCCCCACTCACCGCCCGGCAGACTACTAACTGCCAGTCTCTTCGTGACCCTCGGTCTACTTACCTTCCCTCCTGCTCATTTGCTCTCTGTGTTAAATCACCCTCAGGGTAGTAGTCCCTCCTATTCTCCTCTTTCTTCTCATCTTCTACTCTTTACCCCCTTGGCCACCTTCTGCTCTATCAAGGGTCCCCTCTCTTCTCACCATACCACCCCTCTTGCATCCCCTCATCGTATTATCGGCTCAACACCCCTCCTCTCCCCCTCCTTACCCCTCCCCGGTATACTCTCTCCACCATGGCCACAACAGCAGCAGGTCGCATGCTCTCCCGCCAACTGCAGCAAATGCAATCGGACAAGGACATCCCCGGGATCAGCTGCGGATTGGTCGATAACAATGTCTTTGAATGGGAGGTCATGCTCATGATCTCCGATGATGTCAAGTTGTATGGCGGTGAGTGTAGAGTTTGGGTGGGAGAAAGCTTGAAGGAGCATCTCCAAATTTTCTTCAGGAGCCTCTCATACTGATTCAAATGAATGATAGGTGGTTTCTTCCGTGCTCGTCTCTCGTTTCCTCCTGACTACCCTCACATGCCGCCGAAAATGAAGTTCGAGACGCCTCTGTACCATCCTAACAGTACGCCTCACCCTGTACCTTCCTAGCTCCCTTGAGTTCTCTCCAGAGCACAAGATAATCATAGGATACTAATTTCACTGTGACAATTATATAGTTTACCCCAATGGTGACGTCTGCATCTCCATCCTCCATCCCCCAGAGGAAGACAAGTACGGCTACGAGTCCGCCGCGGAGCGCTGGTCCCCCGTGCAAACGCCCGAGACGATCCTCCTCTCCGTTATCTCCATGCTCTCCAGCCCCAACGATGAAAGCCCCGCCAATGTCGAGGCTGCACGGTTATGGCGGGAAGACCCGAAAGAGTTCAAGAAGAAGGTGCGCAAGTGCGTACGGGATAGTCTGGGAGAGGAGTAAATGAGTTCCTCCTTCCCTTATTTACCTTTATCATACCTTGAGTCAAACCATCCAGTCATGGTATGATGTGAATTGCATGGAACAGAGACGGAAATGGGTCAATATGGGTTTTCTCTTCTTTATGTGTTGTTCGTTGCATGATAGAAGGACGCTTGGTGCGGTTGATTCGGCTGATGGTCTACCTATTTACTTACGTACGGGATATATCCATTTTTCTTCCCTTTCGCCTGACAATTATTGTTACTGATGCGGGGAGTTTTCTTCTTTTTTTCGTTGTTGATTGGTCTAAGATGGAGTTTAATTTCATTTCTTACTTTACTTGTATTGCCTTTCTTCCTTCCGTTCTTTTCACTCAACCTACCATTGCACTCGTTGCCCTTGCATGCTTCTTCTCGTGCGCTGTTCGATCCTGGTTGTATATCCTTTTTGGGTGTAGGCGGGTTTCCTTTCCCAGTGAATATACTTGTGGTATAGGGGCTAAATACACGGACCCACTAACTTTTGGCCGCTGAAGTATCCCTCCGTAGTACTAGAATGAGTATGTATATTGGTGTAACCATACCGAGATACCGGCAGTAACTGTAACTTTCATAACTGCAACGATGCTTAGTAAACGGGTATCTATTGTATGTACTATACTTGCAGAATATACATTAAAATGTAGACTCTTGTATGTATAATTAGGCCTTAGGCGTCTTCTTCATCCCCTTCCGGATAGATTCCAGGAAGAATCCGGGGTAGAAGTACGTAAGGCAGCTCACGGCGATGGCCATCATCCTATAACTCCAATCAGTATTTTCCGTACTCACGAGATAGAACGGGACGGGAGCCATAATCGAAAGGGACACACTCACATTCCATCAAGAACCAGGAACTCATTCTCCTTCTGCATGAGCGGGTTACCCCATCCACCGGCCATTTCAGGGATACTGCATAGACCACGTTAGCATCTCGCAACGTACCTCGCTTGAGAAGGTGACAAAAGGAGGTATTAGGCAGGCATACCGATAAATACACCGAATCAAAGTAGCAAAGTAAGCCACGATGCCGGCCCAAATAACAAGCCTGAGGTTCTTCGGCCCAGTGAGGTTTCCATTCTCATCAATGAACTTCTCGCCGCCTAAACCCGGTCCCTTTCTCACGACACGGATGAAGAAATCCAACGCCAACAGACCACAAACCGACATCGTGCCCACCTGGAAAGCGATACCCGCTACCATGATATCATCGCCCACCTTCAGCAGACTCTGGTTCTCGCTGCCTGCTGCCGCGGCAACACCGCCACCTGCGGCTTGGAGAATGAGTGATCCGACATCACAGCTGATGAAGATCCAGGTGAAGAGCTGGGGCTTCAGACGCGAGTATTCCGGGCCCAGGGAGAGAATGACGTGTTTCAGGGTGAGATAGATACCGGCGGCGATGAAGGTCGGGGCGAGGACGAGACAGACGATTTGCAGTTTGAAGGCGCCTTGGTCCCAGGGGTTGTGGTTCATTAGGACTCGACCGATGTATCCTGCTAGTTCCATGTATCCGCCGATTACCATTGCGATTATCATTGTCCAGGAGCGGTAGTAGACGCCGAGACCGAGTTGGAGGGTGCCGAGTAGGCCGAAGTAGACGGCGAAGAAGATGTTACCGCCTAGGTTGGGGTAGTAGCCGTATGTTGTCGCTGTGACGGGACATTCTGGCGTGACGTGCGTGCAAGTGATGCTCATGGTGATAGGTTGTCGTCCTCTGGTCCTGGTGGTCGTAAAGAGTAGTCGTGTATCGGTGTGGAGGAGGGAAAGATAGCTGATATAGGTGGGAGAAATGAAAGAAAGTAACAAGCCGCTATGTATAGGTCTATATGCAATATACCATGCAATATATGCAAGCAAAGTAGGAAAACGAGGGAAAGAAAGAAACAGATATGTAAGATGACGCCGGCTCCGACCCTGATAGATGCGCGCACATATTGTATGTCAGCCTGATGGGGATCAGACCTATTAATATAAGACAGTCGAATAAAATTTATAGTCGACCCGTTCTTTATCCCGATTTGCCGGGTTCTGGAGACGGTCCTCTGCCTGGTGGATCGGTCGTGTATAAATTCCATGGCATGACAACGCCGATTGGCTCGCTTTCGTTCTCGTTTTCGTTCTCGTTCTCGCACTACTCCACCGGCTGTAATGGTTGGTTCGACCGTTATCGCCGATGGGGGAATTCCTCCGGCCATGCACTTTGTTCCTTGCAAGGAAACATTTTGAGCTCGTATCCTCATGATTTGTTCGTAGGGCTCATTTATTCCTAGTCATCAACGAGCTGTTTGAATAACTCCCACTCATTCTTCCCAGAATTGATCTCGTCGATGGAGATAAAGCGTGCCTGGAGAAGATTCAGTAAGCATTCATTTAACCGACTTGATAGCGGCCGTTGTGGGGACTCACGGCTCCACCTGTGTCATTGCGCCCCTTTTGCTGCTGGGTTGGAGAAACAAAACAGCCAGTGGTGAAACAACTCTTTCTGTAGATAGTTGCAGCAGCTCTCGGCATGCCGGTGCCCAGCTTGCATTGACCCCAGGAAATCTTATAGCCTAATGGAACATCTGCGCTGGTGGACAATTTTGATGGGTTGTTATCACGTGACGCGGAGAATTAGTCACCCCGCGTCAGCACGTGGAGCCGCTTACTAGTACAAAGTAGTTCTCATCCATCCACTCGATTTATTTTATCGTTAAGTGGACGATGATATCCGCCGGCAAAATAAGCGTCCGATATGCTTCTTTATCGAAAACAGGGCTAAAGTTGCAAGATATGAGACCGGTGGGTATAAATTGAGGGGAAATGCCACCTAGAAGGACCCATACCAAGTCACGCAATGGCTGTGACCAGTGTAAGAAGAGACGCGTCAAGGTAAGCATCATTCACTTTCATACTTCTCATATCCCGCATTCCTGGGCTATGCCTGAATTGAACAGCCGAAAGTGTTCAATTCTGGAACTATTTAGTACCCGTCTAATTCACTATCATCCCCGCAGCGCTCTTCTAAGTTCTAACGGCTGTAGTGCGACGAACGAGGCCCGCCATGCTCCAATTGCATTAGCCGGGAGCTGGCATGTACTTACTTTAAGACCCCGGCAGCACGCAAGGAGACTACACTATCGACAAGTCCTGCTCCTTTGCAGTCAATAGTAGCACCCTCTGAGGCAACATACCATGCCAACCAGCCCGTCTCCCGCCATGGGTCTTCACCGCCAAACTTTGCTTACCTGCGCGAGCTTGAGCTAATGCACAAGTTTTCCACGGAGACGTATCTGAGTTTATGCAATGAACCAACGGATCACCATGAATGGCAGTATGTCATCCCTCGCAAAGCTTTGCAGCATGACTTCCTCATGAGCGGGATACTAGCGGTGGCATCTCTCCATATCGCGTCGACACTCGATCCACCAGAAGCGCTTTCCTATATTGACACAGCTCTGGAGTATCATAATCATGCATTTGCGCCTTTTCGTCATGCGATTGATAACCTCACTCCAGCCAACTGTGACGCAGTCTTAGCTCACTCAGTAATCACAACTGTTATTGGTATAAAGTTACCACAATTGGCACGAGAAGAGAACCAAAGCATGACCGAAAACATAATTGTCGTTTTCGAGTTGCTGCACGGAGTCAGTAAAATCTTCACCATCAGCCGTCCCTGGCTTCAAGGAAAGTTGTTTACTTCCCGGAAAGGCTTCTGGGAAAATCAGCTTTCCATACTAGACAGTGAAATTGAGGCTGCGCTGGATCGATTAACGGCCTTGAACAATGATATGCTTGCTCCTGACACAGCGGATCAACACCACATCATCAAGAATGCAATAGCTCTTCTACGCCGTTGTTTCTGCAGATACAACCATGCCCGAGACGTGGCTTCCATACTCGCATGGGTCGCAACCGTTGATAAGGAATTCGTTCATGCTCTGAGATGCCGTCAACCTCTCGCGCTGCTAGTCCTCATACACTGGGGTGTTCTGCTCCAGGAGCTTGATGAAAAGGTGTGGTGGGCAAAGAATTCCGGAACAGCTCTGGTTTCCGAGTTGCTGAATGCCCTCCGTCCCTGCGACATACGGTGGGAAGGTGCATTGCAGTGGCCGAAACGTAAGATAGGACTTTGAGGAACATATATTGGATCAGTTTCTGCATTCTCACCCCGTGGTCACTGGGCTCACAGCTACTCGAGCTGCGCACCGGCAATGCTTACGAGAGCTCCTCATGATATTGGGCGCTGGTCAGCGTACAGATTGACACGGATCTATCAGCACAGACTAAACACAAATAAGGCCGTCGCATATAAATAACAGGTCTTGCAAACGACTGCCTCAAAACAAGGCACAGACGCCTCTTCAAAGCTTCCCCATTCTTCTCAGCACCTTTTCATAGGCTTCTTTTGTCCGTGCTGAAGAGAGCTTGTCAAGATAATGTTGACAGAACGCTAAGCTTAAAGGACCCCCGAGCTGTTTCAGCCAGTATGATCGCCCACAATCGAAAATCCAGTTGCGGGTGCCCACCTTGACAAGCTCTGCTAGGATATGTTGTGGGATACTTCGATCTTGCACGAATATTATCTTTGGTAGCTCATGCCGAATCTCTTCCGGGGCATTTTCCCTGCATATGGCTAGGATCTCGTCGAACGTATGGCTCACATATAATTGCGATCCGATATGAACGATCCCTCGTGTTCCAGCAGCTGCATGCAAAAGGCACGCATTTGCGACAAAGTCAACTGGTATTTCATCCAAGATATTCTGACCACTCTTATAGCCCTCTGCGGCGTGCCATATCTGGGTACCTCCCTGGTCTGAAAAGTATAACGTAGAGAACTTCGTCAGGGGCGTCGAATCTTCGGGCCCGTACAGTGGGTATGGGTCTCTGACAGCCGGTCCAAAGATTGTCGGGCGGACAAACAACACCGGGAGCGTAGGATACCTCTTGAACGTCAAGCGCTCCATAAGATGTTTCGCATGGGTATAAGACGAAGAAAATCGATCCGTATAAGGCGACTGTCCAGTTTCTTGTATGCTTGCCAATTCATCCTCTGGGTCGTCGTCTGAAACGGGGTACAGTCGCTCACCCACATAACCGTCCGGCAGAAAACTGTTCACATAAGCCGTGGAAATCTGGATGAAGAGCCTAAGTCGGCGAAACCGGGAAACCATCGCAGCCAACTCCAATGCGGGCAGACAATTATTCTCCAGCGCTTCAGAGATGCTCGCATCTAGTTTGATTTTCGCAGCTGCATGTATAACTAGCGTGACCTCTTCACGCAATCGGTTCAACGTCACGTCTTCAATCCCGAAGTCTGGCTGCCTAATATCCCCAACTATGTAATGAATCCTGTTCGAGTTCAGAATCGCCTGCGTGTGATCCGGCATGGTCTTTTTCCATTTCTTCACAGCCAACTCCGACGACCCGCGGATCAAGACGAAGATCTTCCACGTCGGAAGCTGCACTGCCAGCTTATGCAGAATACATCCTCCCAGTGAACCCGTGCTGCCCGTCAGGAAGACGGTCTGTCTTTCATAAGACGTTGCATACCCAATTCTCTTGACCTCATCTTGATATGGCGCGAGGTCCGGACCTGGCATAGGGAAAGACTGTGCGGGCGTTTGTCAGAGGAAAGAGGAATATGGTGTTGGGGTGGGTGCTACCAGATAATTTCTTCTCGTCATGGGAAACCTGTACAAAACCACCCGAAGGGTTACTATATACACTCACTCCATCATCGTCACATGTTACACCCCCACCGCAACGAAACACCAGCACATCACTGGAGCGAGGGTGCAACGCAGTGCTACCGGCCGAAGAAGAAGCCTCGGCTGATTATGAGGCCGTGAAGAATCCTTTGGCATGTCATTGTCTATCCTGCATAGACCTGACTCGATCTTAGAACCAAAACAAACATCCGACTCAATCTCTCGATGCTTCTCAGAGAGATATAATCGAGTATAGTATCTTCAATTCAATCCCAAAACAACAATTATATCACCGAGTTTTATCGTATAAAATACACTGCGGTATACGAGTCCTAATATAGCACCGTGGTACTAGCTCCCTGTGACGAAACACAAGTGTAACAAATCACCCTTAGGTTCGTCCAGTAGCAGAAATCACCGGTATGCTATGTCTGCTACGGGCACTCCAAGTGTACGGCAGTATCATGCCATAGCGAATAGTAGTGAGCATGTTTGTGACATTTGATTAGTTGAAAGGATCTCTCCCACAAGTCCTTATGGGTTTGTGCAGTGGTGGTGGTGATGGTGGAATGGATACTCAGACTACTTTTAGCTGCTGAAGTGGGTGAATGATACTACTAGTTCGGGTTTTAATGACTATAGTTTACATATATAATCTCAAGTCTGTACTCATTACTACTGACTACCTTTGTATAAAGATATAAAGCATGACTAGTAGTCTACATTACTTATTCATATAAACAATTGTTTATTATACAAATACCCATCGTCCTAGAAAATACTAGAGGAAAATAATAGAAGATACACGGAGGAAAGAAAGACTCCATTCAGGAAGTCAAATCTATCTACCTAGCTTAGCCAAGAGCTTCAAATAGTATGTATTAGAAAAGGATTTAAAAAGGAGGAAATCAAGGCAATAAAAGCAATCAATCAATCAAGAATGCTTATTCCCGCCGCCACCACACCAACAACGGCCGTCTCCTTCGCGCTCGACCTGGACGAGAATGTCCATGCCCTTTTCGCGGAGGTAGTCCACGGTGCGTTGGCGGACATCTTCGAGATCGGAGCTGCGAGAGGCAATGACATGAATTACGCCAAGGACGTTGGGAGTATGCGTGTCATGGTGATCGTGATCGTGATCATCGTGGCTGTGGGAATGGTGGTCATGACTGTGACTGTGAGTATGGCCGTGGTCGTGAGCATGATCGTGATCGTGGCTATGGTTGTGACTATGAGTATGACTGTGGTTGCATCCATGATCATGAGCATGGTCGTCGTGATGATGGTGGTGGTGGTGGTGGTGGTGGCCGGTTTCCTTCCCAGTATCGTCCAGCCAGAATTTCGGGACGGTGTACCCGACAACGCCCCGTAAAGTGCTAACGCCAGCAAGGGTTTCGCGGACATTGTATTCAATGTCAGCTGGAAGGGTGAGCAGCAAACTCTTCGCGGTGCTGCTGACAAGCGGGATTGCCGAGGCAAAAATCAAGATTGCGATGAAAGAGGAGGCAATTGGATCGAACCCTGGCCAGCCAGAGTAGTGCACGAGAATGGTCGAGATCACAACAGCCACGGAGCCAAGAGTGTCGGCGAGAATGTGTAGGAAAATGCCGTGCATGTTCTCGTTTCCGTGCGAGTGCCCGTGACTGTGATCGTGGCCGTGTGCATGTCCATGATCGAATGCCATGATTCCGACAAGGTTGACGAGGAGACCCGCAACACTCACGGCCAGTAGTTCGCCGAGGCGATGCATCTGACTGCCTGATGAAAGCCGCTCGACGGCTTCATAGATGATTTCGATGCTGATGATCCTGCATGTTGTTAGGACGGTCATCCAAAATGCTTGAGTAGGACTTACATGAGGAAGATGCCATTGGCAAACCCAGACAGCGTGTCGACTTTGCCATAGCCATAGGGGAATCTAGAGCTCGGGGGCCATTTACTCATGACAGCAGCACAAAGGCCAACCACGAGCGCCAAGCAGTCGAAAAACATATGAATACTGTCACTAAGAAGACCCAGAGACCCTGTCATAAATCCATAGGACAGCTGAACAAGCATAAAGGCAAAATTAAGACTGGTTGAGTTAGTCCCGATTTACTATAGATCAAGGGCAAAAGACGAGATACCTCATGAAGTAGAAGATGCGTCGCGAATCGCTCTCCTTGAGAATACTGTACAAAAGGGGATAAGGCTCGCTGTACTGGATGATGAGCCTCGTTATCTTCGTAGCATCAGCTCCAGAGTGGGCATGATGATGGTGATTATGGGTATGAGAATGCTGCGAAAGGCGCAATTGTCTGTCGTCGAATCTGGCAGCAAGGAACGAGGCAGCAGTTGCAATGGCACGAGCTACATAAGCCAGGTGAGTTTTCTCTTGCAGCGGCGGGGAGCTTAAGAGAGCGGCAGCTCCGACTCCGATAACAAGACCTATCTTTTGTGGTGAGCGTAGATGGGAAGAAGAAACAAATATTAAGCACGTTGCAAGCGCTCCAGCAGCTGCAAACTGGTACAGCATGTTGGTCGGTTGCAGAGACACATTGCCGGAAACAACAACAGTGATAAGTGCCAGGATAATGCCTGAAAGAATGGCCAGAATTGAATCACTTGACGAGATGGCTCCCGAGCCCTGCTTTTCAGCTTGCTTCTGGGACACTGTGCCATTAGACGTCAAGTAATCCAGATCAGCAGAAATGGACAAAGCCCCAGCCAAAGGGGGCCGAAGAACGAAGACCGAGGTGAGCAAAGCGACATAGCCCAGGTATGGGTGAGGGTCTCGCGTCGCATTCATACCCCAAAGGCTCAGCGCAACAAGGGTGATGAGAAGCATGACCGTCACTTTCTTTTGGCCAAACCGGGACTGTGCACTGCTGTGAAGTCCAAAGCCCTGAACGACGGTCGGCAACCCTGACGCTACAGGAAGCAACAAGCCGCATGCGACAAGGAACCCTCCCACCTTCAATGTCGCATATATCGGCAATGCGACCGAAGACACCCGAAGCAAAACAGCACTTGCCGCGCTGGAGCCCAAATGAGGCAGTGTAACCCCCGAGTCACTCCCTCCTCGTTGGATGGATCGAAGTAATTGCCCACACCCATATACAACCATTGTAGCAGCGGTCAGCATGGATGTTTTGCTGGCAGCCTGCCCCAAGGCCCCGTTTGCTGGGCTAGATGCAGCGGGGTCATCGCTTGTCGAGAGCGTTGTCTGCCAAAGCGCATGTTGTTGGTGGTACCAGGACAGGATGATCCACGGCAGCGAGAGGAGAAGGCCAGAGAGAACTTCCTGACTGAGCAACGTTAGAATCGAATTCCAATGAATTGTCCAAAGAAGACTTACGTCGTGCTCGATTGAGAGTCGATTGAAGTGCTGACCGATTGAGCTCCAACCAAGACCGTCACGCTATCGCTCTTAGAGTGATTGATAGAGCCGAGGCTCGTGTGATGAGCATGTTCCCACACAGTAGGAGTTGAGTGGGAGTGAGAGTGGGAATGGGAATGAGAATGCGAATGGGAGTGAGCGTGTGAATGTGTGTGAGGGTGTTCCAGCCACGTTGGGCTCACAATTTGGCCATTGGTGAGTTGTGTATTCGGTAGAGGCTGTGGGGGCTGTTGTTGCGCCGAGGAGGCATCGAAGGAGGAAGCCGAGATGGAGATGGGACCATTTGACCAGCGAGAGGCACGCGAATGACCCCGACCCCGAGAATGTCCTAGACCATGTACCTGAGAAATGGTATCCACGGTGGACACGGGAGCCCCCGTCGACATGATCTCCAGTGGTTCGTGTGAGGATAGGCGACTAACCACGGAGGGAGGAGCACAAGGCGAGAGAGCGTTCGGAGGGGGAGGGAGCAAGGAGGTGGATTGACGGAGGATTGGAGCTCTAGCAGCTCAATGCAAATGAACGGTCGGGGAACTGGGTCAGACGAGGTGGCATAGCGCCGGGGAGTAAGTGGGAAACGAGGTTGGCAGCTTGGACGGGCGCTTGTGGCAATGAATGGGGATGGGATGGGAGGATGGCCCCCAGATGCGCGCCGCCGACTGAATGATCGGCTGCCCGCGATAACCCCCGGGCCACGTGATTGGGCTGGCCGCAGGCTGATCGTCCGGCCTCGATTGCAATGGAACTCTCCCCCAAACAACAACCACGTACCTTGGACGACTGGCTGAGGTCAGGGGGGGGATCTGTTCCAGGCCAACATCCAGGCCAGAATCCCTCGTTGCTTTTTCGCCTGCTGAAACCAACGATCAGGCACATTGCATGCATCTCACCAATCCGAGAGCGAACCGCGCGCTTGATCTGCTTTGACGCGGCATCGAGTGGGGTTGTGGGATCGGCCCAGGATTCCTCCGTTCAAACCGGAGTACAGCTGGCAATCCTCTCCCCCGGAGCTATCTCCGTGCTTCTTATCTACTTTGCTGGTTCTACTGGCCCTTCAATGGCCCTGCGCTGAGCTGCATCCACCAACCGATTTGTTCAGAATGCTGTTGTACTCAATCGCTTGAACTTCTCTCATCCCTCCAATTCATAATCTCCGACACCATGATCGAGTTACTCATTAGCGTCGCGTTCTATCTCTCTACGGCGCTTACTATCGGCATTCTCTTGCTGCCTTCGCGGCATGAGTCCAAGCCTGTGACTAGCCAAAATGCGGCAAACGAACCCAAGACCACTGTTCAAATTCTCGTGTTAGGGGATATCGGCCGGAGTCCGCGCATGCAGTACCATGCCCTCAGTGTTGCCAGAAATGGTGGACAGGTGGACATGATCGGTTACCATGGTGGGCTAGAGACTGCGCCCTTGTTCTTCTTTAAGTTCCACACTAATCAATTGCTATAGAATCCGACGTGCATCCCGAGATCTCCTCCCATCCGAGAATATCCATTGTCCCCCTGCCGCCGCATCCATCCTGCCTTGAGACAAGCAACAAGATCCTCTTCCTACTGTTCGGTCCGTTGAAAGTTCTTTTCCAAATCGTCTGCTTGTTTTGGATCTTGGCATATCGCACAAAACCAGCCAAATGGCTTCTCGTTCAGGTTGGTTATTACACACCTTGTCCACGATCCATTGTTCCATTGAAGCAGCGCTAAGTCGAACCTTTGCCCGTCGCAGAATCCGCCCTCTATTCCCACGCTAGCGATCGCATCCCTCGTCTGCTTCTTGCGTCACACGCAGCTCCTCATCGATTGGCATAACTTTGGTTACACCATCTTGGCACTCAAACTCGGGGACTCCCACCCGTTGGTCAGATTTTCCAAATTATATGAGAAGATCTTCTGCCAATATGCGACGGCGCACTTGTGCGTAACCAATGCCATGGCATCGGTGCTGAAAGACGAGTTTGCGCTGAAGGCGCCCATTCTCCCGCTGCATGACCGACCAGCCGATCATTTCCAGCCCATTCTAGACGATCGCGTACGCCAGGACTTCCTGCGCTCGTTGTCGGAGACGGAATCTGTCCGGCCGATGATTGGATCTGATAATATTCGAGTTCTGGTCAGTTCGACCTCTTGGACAGCGGACGAGGACTTCTCGCTTCTCATAGAAGCTCTGTGTCGGTATTCAGACTTGGCTGAGACGTCAAATCCCGAACTACCCTCGGTTCTGGCTATCATAACGGGGAAAGGGCCCCAGCGCGAGATGTATCTGAGACAAATTGCCGATCTGCAGAAAAACGGTAAACTTCAAAAGGCCACCATTCGTACCGCGTGGCTCAGCATGGAAGACTACGCACGATTGTTGGCATCCGCTTCGCTGGGTGTCAGCCTGCACACCAGCAGTAGTGGAGTCGATCTGCCCATGAAAGTCGTCGACATGTTCGGTGCCGGTCTGCCCGTCGTTGGCTGGAATTGCTTCGAGGCGTGGCCGGAGCTGGTCACTGAAGGTCGTAATGGACGAGGCTTTGGAAGCTCCGATGAGCTTGTAGAACACCTTGTTGAACTCTTTGGAAACCAGGAATCACTCGAAAAGCTTCGTGTTGGGGCGCGAGAGGAGAGTTCTCGTCGGTGGGATGACGAGTGGAACCCCGTGGCCGGCAAACTGCTAGGCCTAGTATAATTGAATAGCAAGTGACGACCCTATTTACTGTATAATGAAATATTAGAATATTGGCGTAGCACAGACACCAAACCACACGGACTTTACCTGGAGCATGTCCTCAAGCACGGTATTTGCCATTGCAGTAGACACACGTGTCGAACGCATCGAAGAGCGTTCGGCAGGTATACGATACGTCAGATTCAGGTGGCTCTACACTGTCCTCATCCAGATATTCCTTTCCACACGAGGAGCAGACTTTGGAAGATCCGGGGTCCTGAATGGCCAATGACGTCAGGCTACAGCGAACTATTACGGGAAGAAGAGTTAGCATTGTGTCCTCTTGCAACGCCTTGAGTGCAGCATCGAACATACCAAAGATGTGGCCTGTGGCACATTGGGCTTCCTCGGTTGAATACCATGCGATCCCAGCGCTGCAGATCTCGCATCGTTCGAACATCTGGCCGCCAGGCCCATCAAGCATCTCGACAGGCTTGGGGGCGATCGTCGTCCTAGAAGCCGTACACTTGGAAAGCTCATCGTTCAGGTCTACACCCGTGATAGTTGCCAGCCTTACCAAGACTTTGTGAGCTTGGGACAGTAGAGCCTCGTTCTTTGAATCGGTGATTGTGCAGCAGGCCGTAGCGTATAGTATACTCAAAGACAGCGGTTGTCGGTTCTCATTATTGTCTTCGAAGTGTAGAATGTATCCCAAAGCAGCCTCTCGCTGCTGGCGAAGATACTCGGAAGAGCTGTCCGACACCGACCGAGATTCGAGTCCGTCAGATTGAGAACCATCGGTTGTCGACATTATGACTGTTAACCTTTCCTCCGCTGCTGTGCGATATTCTATCATATCCCCTGGGTGTACGGTAATACCAGCTGCGATCATTCCCCTGCAGAAAGCCATACCCCAAGCCCGGGCAACTGCTAGGCCTCCAAGATCGCGGTCAAAGTCATACCTCTCACGCACATCATCGAGCTGGTCTTTCCATGGGACGGCATGAATCGGGTATTCATCGTCGCCATCCCGGAAAGGTACTGCTGCTGTGAATCCTCCGGCCGTTGCTAGATAAAGTACAGGAGCCTGGGAATCGGTGTCCATCGCAACAATCATTGCTTCAGATGTTAGCTAGCGAAGGGGCGGATGGTGCGCACTGCTTACCGGATATTGGCTCTGGGTGCCTAGGAGGTTCCGTTTCGCTATCATTTTCCGGGCTTTCATAGAATAACAGTTCTTGCAGTCGCACTTGGCCAGAGCTTGGATCAATGCCTTGATGGGGCTCTTTAGACGCCTTTATCAATATGAGCCCTGCCAGGGTACCCGCAGCCAAACAGACAGTATGAGAGTCGTCCTATGCAGGTCAGTGCCTGCCCAGCTGTAGCGCTTCTGAAACATACCGTATTCATCCATGCCAATGGCCCTGTAAAGTGATATCCACTCAAGCCTTCGTAGAACTTTGGCGTAATGTCTTTGGAAATAGCCTTGATTTGGGATTGCGGCTGTGAGCCTGTGTCGGGGGGTGGGGACAGAACCTTCACATCCAGATGAACCACCTTGAGAGCAGTCCCATGAGTGACAGCGAGAAAGCCACTCGCGGATTCCTTTGCATGAAACCATGGGCCCCACGACATGGACAGAATCTTGATTTTGGATCTCAAAATTTCAGAAAAAATAGATGATTGTTGCAGCTTTGGATAATGCTCATTTGTATCCTGAAAAGAGTTGACTGACAAAACGCCGGCTTCATATGGCGGACCGAGACCTGTTGGTGGTCTGTGGATTCTCAGCACAACAACATCATTGTCATCGTTTGCGACTGAGAGCAGGTGAAATCCCCAGCGACTCTCGGCAGGTAGGACAGAGTAAGGTGTGATATGCCTTTCGGCTGGCAGTTTAAGCGGCGGTGACCACGCGAAAGCACGAATATTGGATTTCCGCAATAGCATGCCATCCTCCTGGACAGTAGAATTGAAATGGGTCTTTAAAGCGCCATTTAGTATGGCAACCCGAGTCCACTTCCCTTGAGAACCGACAGGTTCATACAACGACAACAGTAGGTTAGATGTCAGAACCGCGAGAACACAACGTCGATATTTAGCCAACCCTGGAGGGGACCAGGCCAATGCCACTACATTGCTGAGGGACTGTTCGGCCCCGAGAGAGAAATTATCCCGATTCTGGGGGTAGATCGTAGGCCACTCATTGTTCGTGAAAACATTGACACGGAAGCGAACTGAATGCCAATTATTTGTGGGAGATTGACTTGTGTCATGACCCAACCGTTCAGCTGCATTTTTTGGAGTCTAGTCCATATAAGCATGAGCTTGGATGGCAGGGATGCTAACACTGACTAAGATTTGGACGTGGTCTCCAGCGGCGATCGCGAGCTCCCCATCTTCCGACCACGAGAGACAGTCATAGCAAGAAGGGAAAAGCGGTAATTCTAAGGGACCAGACATTTCTTCATAAAGTTGAATACTCCCTTTTCTTCATGGCAGTCTTCACAAAACACAGTCCCTAAAGTCGTGTTATGTATGGATATGGGAACTCCGCGATGAGCTAGCTAGCTAGTCAACTGCATCAGTTGGAGAACGAAGAGCTCAGCTCTTCTATGGAGATGCTCGTTTAGGTTAGTCCCCCGTTTTGGGCCGTGGAACGTGCCGTGCAGTCACATGATGCAAGTGGTAACTTACCTAATCTAGTGGCGCCCCGAGATTTTTCCCAGATAGGCTAAGACTCAGCAGTGGGCTTCTGCAGGCCCAACAACGGCGGGCGGCGAGTGAGAGTTACTAACAGCTAACAGTACAAAGTAGACGGATTCCTGACTAACGGCGCTCAGGAGGAGGCACGGCCCAACTCGCCGGTCTTTGGATCAACGCTCATCCTCCCGAGGTGGCTATCATCCTCTCTTGGATTCCACCACCCACTCTCGTCACACCTCAACTTCTCTTTCTTCCGCCTTCACCTGGGACTTTCGTGCCCCCTTCCCCTCCCCCATCATTCAGTCACTGCGCACTTGACCTTACGGATCACTGCCAAAGCTATCTGGCTCTCGTTGTTTCTTTCTACTATCTCGATAGCTCCCTCCCGAGACATCGCCAGTACCCCGCCGCAATGTCGACCTCTGCCCGCCGTCGTCTTATGCGCGACTTCAAGGTGCGTACTTTCACGAGCATGGTTCTGAGCTTGATTTTTATCATATCTATGATTCTTTCTTTTATCACTTTTTACTTTCCCATCCTTTTCAACCTCCCGTCTGGTTCATATACTTGAAGGACACTTAAAATGTCCCGTCATTGGATACAGTTAATGGTTGCAAGAGCTAACTTGACATTCTTCTCCGCAGCGTATGCAAACTGACCCCCCTGCTGGAGTTTCTGCATCCCCCGTGGCAGACAATGTCATGACCTGGTAAGCTGATCTAGTCTCACATAATGACGGCCATTTCAGTCCCTAATCTTTGTTACGTTTAGGAACGCCGTCATCATCGGCCCTGCCGATACTCCCTTTGAAGATGGCACTTTCCGCCTTGTCATGCACTTTGAGGAGCAGTACCCAAACAAGCCTCCGGGCGTCAAGTTCATCAGTCAGATGTTCCACCCGAACGTCTACGGTACGGGCGAGCTCTGCCTGGACATCTTGCAGAACCGTTGGAGCCCAACCTATGACGTGGCAGCCATCCTGACCAGTATTCAGAGGTACGAACCCTTGTAGTCAAGGTGAAGCTGAAGATGAAACGCAAAACATGCTAACGAGTGTTTTACTTGCGTGTAGTTTGTTGAACGATCCCAACACATCATCTCCGGCGAATGTAGAAGCGTCAAACCTTTACAAAGACAATCGAAAGGAGTACATCAAGCGCGTGCGCGAGACTGTCGAGAAGAGCTGGGAAGACTAGGATAGTATCAGCGTAGAGATGCTGCGGGTTATTGTTATGGGTTTTGGGTCGCTTTGGGGCACATGTTTATGATGAAGCAGACTTGTCGGTCTTCGGTGCGACGGAAGCTAACGGCAAGCTGCTGTGATCCGTTTCATGCGTTTGTGGGGGGACTCCTACCTTTTGGCATGATGGGAGTCCTACACCATTTGATGACGTGCACAGCGTGGGGTTTTGGCGCCTGGTACATTTAATATTTCATTCGGTATTGTGGATAGCTGCATCATATTTTCAGTGTGTTTTTGCATAATGCATTAACTCTGTCGGGCTCTTGTTTTACCTTCGCTGCATGTCACATAACTCTTATCTCCTCACTGCGTTGGCTTTTTCTTGTCCCAGGCCAGTTAGTTTTCAACCCGAGCCCCTCATATGAGCCCTTCCCGTGATCCGACCCGTAAGGCAGGTACAGCACTCAAATGACTACATGTAACATTCCTCATGTTTGGCGGGGATGGACATGCGGCACTGGTGAGGATGGTTAGGCGGGTGCCAAGAACACTCTAAAACGGAAGGGGGGGGGGAAGAGCCAGATGCCTGCCTACTTTGCACCGGAACCACTTCCAGAGTTCCCATAACAATGCTGCATACCTAACCTCACACTCACCACCACCACACACATACACTTGTTTTGCTCCTCCCCCCCCCCCCCACCTTAGGCAGGGAAGACCCGTCCAAGACCACGTCACAACCCACTATCGTTGTCGATTCATGGGTGCTGGGGCCCTTTTTTTACTTATTGCCCGATCTCTCTGAATTCTTGGGGCTTGCCGATAGCGCATTTATTGCACACGTTCGTTTCGGTCTAGTGCACGTGGACCCCTGACCCAAACAACACCGCCCACCGACCCTGGCCCTCCAAAGCAGACTTGCCTCATTGTTGATCTGAACGAAGTTACCCCCTCACTCAATCCCCTCCTCTCGGGGCTTTCTTTCCTTCTTGTCCTCTTTCGTCTTCATCGGTTTTTTTTTTTCCCTCTGTTCGGGTCAGACTGAACATGGCGTGAGTATCTCGTTGCTTCACCGCTTGACCGTGGGAGCGGTTAGGACTGATTTGTTTCGCTTGACAGGTCATCTGGCCCCAACGGCTCGAACAACACCATTAAGGGTGCGCATCAACTCCCCGCCGCGTCGTATACTTTTTTGCGTTTGGTGGTGATCCAAGACTGACGGTTCGCACACAGTGGTTGCGAGGTTCCGACCGCAAAACAAGGTTGAGTTGTCCTCTGGAGGAGAGCCGATTGTTGAATTCGAAAATGAGCAATCATGTTACGTTAATGTGAGCTTTTCTCTTGACGGGCGGGGTTTTGGCATAGGAGGCAAGTTCGCCTAGTGAGCTAACTCAGTCCAGGCCCGTGATGGCTCTGGAGCCTTCACCTTCGACCGCGTATTTCCTATGGACTCGAAACAAACAGATATCTTCGACTTCTCGATTCGGCCCACCGTCGACGATATTCTGAATGGTTATAACGGAACGGTCTTCGCTTACGGTCAGACGGGTGCGGGAAAGTCTTATACCATGATGGGTTCGGATATCGACGATGATATGGGCAAGGGTATCATTCCCCGCATTGTCGAGCAGATCTTCGCCAGCATCCTCACAAGCCCAAGCAACATCGAGTACACCGTCCGCGTGAGTTACATGGAAATCTACATGGAACGAATTCGAGATCTGCTGGTGCCGCATAACGACAACCTTCCCGTTCACGAGGAGAAATCGAGAGGTGTCTATGTCAAGGGTCTTCTGGAGGTGTACGTCTCAAGCGTGCAGGAGGTGTATGAAGTCATGCGACGTGGTGGTACAGCAAGAGCGGTTGCGGCGACAAACATGAACCAGGAATCCTCTCGGTCCCACTCCATCTTCGTCATTACTGTTACACAGAAGAACCTGGAGACCGGCTCCGCAAAGAGCGGACAGCTGTTCTTGGTCGATCTGGCAGGTAGTGAGAAGGTTGGAAAGACGGGCGCTAGTGGTCAGACGCTCGAAGAAGCGAAGAAGATCAACAAGAGTTTGAGTGCTCTTGGTATGGTCATTAACGCGCTGACGGACGGCAAATCCACGCATATCCCATACCGTGACTCCAAGCTCACTCGTATCCTGCAAGAAAGTTTGGGAGGTAACTCGAGAACGACCTTGATTATCAACTGCTCTCCCAGCAGCTACAACGATGCGGAAACAATCTCCACCCTGCGTTTCGGTGTGCGCGCCAAGGCAATTAAGAACAAGGCGAAGGTCAACGCCGAGCTGAGCCCTTCGGAACTGAAGGCGCTTCTGCGCAAGGCCCAAAGTCAGATGACGAATTTCGAAACATACATTTCACAACTCGAGTCTGAAGTACACGTGTGGCGCAGTGGCGAGGCCGTTCCCAAGGATCGTTGGACCCCCGCCAGAGGGGATGCTGTGAGCGCCGCGAAGGCTGAGGCTCGTGCGCCACGGCCCGGCACGCCCTCCCGTTTCCAGGACACGCCTCGATCCGAGACTCCTCGTCCTGAGTCCAGGCTTGGCGACCGCTCTAGTACACCTAGCCTTGTTCTCGAGAAGGACGAGAGAGAGGAGTTCCTTAGACGCGAAAATGAGCTCCAGGACCAGATCGCGGAGAAGGAGTCGCACATTGCGAACGTCGAAAGAGGTCTCCGTGAGGCACGGGAGGAGTTGAGGAGCATGAAGGAGAACTCCGCCCGCTCAGGCAAAGACAACGATAAGTTGACTACCGAGGTTAATGAGCTTCGTATGCAGTTGGAGAAGGTCTCCTACGAAAGCAAGGAGGCCGCCATCACTATGGACAGCCTCCGCGAGGCTAACTCCGAGTTGACCACTGAGTTGGACGACGTTAAGCAGCAGCTTCTCGACGTCCGGATGAAGGCCAAGGAGACCAGCGCTGCACTGGATGAGAAGGAGAAGAAGAAGGCCGAAAAGATGGCGAAGATGATGGCCGGGTTCGACTTGGGCGGTGATGTGTTCTCCGATAACGAACGCAAGCTTCAGGACTTGATCCAGCGGGTCGATTCCTTGCACAAGGTCAGCGAAGCCGGCGAGACGATCGCGCCTGACGACCTTATGGAGCTGCGGGCGAGTCTCCTGGAGACCCAAGGGTTCATCCGTCAAGCCGAGCTCACGATGAACGACCGGGGAGATTTCAATGAGCTGCAGGACAGCCGTAGAGCGGAAGTTGAGCAGAAGCTGGCGAATCTCGAGCGGGACTATGAGAACCTTCTGGAACGGAACCTGGGCGAGGGCGATGTGGAGGAGATCCGGGAGCGGTTGGAGAAGGTGTACGTGACCCGGAAGGAGGCCGAAATGCAGGCAGTCACGGACCTTAGGAACGAGATTGCACGCAAGGATGATGAGCTGGATAAGCTGCGGCTGTCCCTTGCAGACTCTCAATCCCGGGTCTCGACCAACGGCGCCGCCGGCAAGAACCTGCAGCAGCAGATTGCCGACTTCGATGCCATGAAGAAGTCGCTCATGCGCGACCTCCAGAACCGCTGCGAGCGCGTTGTGGAGCTTGAGATCTCGCTGGACGA